CCGTTCCTCCCGGGGCTGCCCAAGAGGTGGCCCCGCCGCCTCATCGGACACCCCCCCGGCTCCGCCGCCGCCGGACACCCCCCTCCCAGCGCCGGGTCGCCTGCATCAGCCATAAAACCATTGAGGATATCAAGACAGGCGCCAGGTGAGTAATAGACAGGATAATCCAGCGAGATTGCTCGCTGTTTACCTCCATCCACAAGCGCCACAAAAGTTACTCATTAACGTTACTATATACAAATAAGATACACAAGAGATAAAGCCATTTGCAAGTCAGAGTTACACCTGCGGTCCACGGATTTCTTGCAAGGGCATGGGGAGGGGGAGGTCAGGATTACCTCACCCTACACACACACGCCCTAAATCAATCAGCCTTTCCCGCCACCCCCCCGAAACTAAAGTCCTGAGCGCCGGTTTGAAGGCGCCGCGGGGCAGCCGAGGACTCGCAGAGGCGACCTGAGCCCTGGCTACCGGGAAGGGCCGGCGGGGGAATCGCTTCCCACTCAACATCATCAGCTAATTACCAAGCGAGCAGCAATCGTACCCACCGCCACCGCCAAAAATACCCTTGCTGCAATAGGGATCCGCGATACCAGCAGCCAGGGAGGGAAAAAAAAAATGCTGCTCGGAATGGAGGAGTCCGAGGTCCCGGGGGGTGACACGGAGAGGGGGTTGTATCACACTGAAAGGTGTCTCTCGCCACCTCCCCCAAGGCCGGGGACACACGAGCAACATGAAGGGTGTAGCTCGAAGGCCGGTTTGGCGGCGCGGCCAGGGTGGCAGCCCCCTGCGGCCAGCGGGCACCCCCCGCCCTGCCCAGGCAGCTCGGAGACAACCTCGATCCTCCCATAGGATCCGGGTGGAAAAGCAGATCCCTCTGCTGGAGCTGCACCCGCCCCCCCACCTCAGCTCGCTGCCCGCAGACGCTGTTTGTTTTCTCGCCAGCCCCGACGCCACCTCCGTCCATAAAAGCCCCACCTCGAGCGTGGCTGCTGGGGCGGCCCTCACCTTGGGCCCGGCTCAGGCGGGGGAGGAAAGGAGAGAAAATGCAGCTCAGTCCAAACCTCATCGCACCGACCGCACTATCTGCGAGCGCAGAGGCTGCCCTGGGTTTCAAATGCGGCTCCCGGGTGGAAATAGACGGACCCCCCGCCCCGGCACGGGGATGAAGGGGATGGCGAGAACTGAACTGCGCTGGGGAAGGGACCGTGCAAGGCGGGAGCGGGGGAGGCGAGGGGGAGCCCTCCTCTGCAGGGAGTCGGGGACAGGGTCCCCTGAGTCCCCCGGCCCGCCGGGACTTCGGCAAAGCGCGGGGAGGGAAGAACCGCGGCCGCGGGAGCACTGACGGGGGGCAGGCGGAGCATAAAACAGGATACGGTCTGGAAGTACATCCTTATAATATTTATTACTGGCGGAGGATGAATCACTTTCCAATATATGGGCCACTAACTGTTGAAGGGGGGAAAATCTCTTTAACGAGGAAAAATATATATGTTCCGCTTAAGGATGTGATCATGGACTGGCACAGCTACAGGCAGAGGCTGCCAATTCATTTATGTTCTCAGTGACCTCCCAGACCACTGGCTGTTCAATTCTCAGCTGCAGCCAGAACTTGTGTCCCTATTTCAGCCATTTTCTAGCTTAATCTCAGCGTGTGTTTCAACGACCCGACGCAAGAAAGAAGCTTCCAAAAGAAAAAAAAAAAGAGTATATATTTATTTATATACATATATTTATACATACGTATTTCCAGGGGATAACTGGAAAGGCCGATTCCCCTGCCCGGACAGGAGAGAAAAACGAGCCCAGTAACCCCATCAAATCATGACCACTTTACCTGGAAACTTTGGAGGAGGGTTCTGCATTAAATTTTAACAGATCTATTCTCTAATTCTTAGCTATTGCTTTATTAATTTATGATAGATAAAAGCATCGCTGAGCCATTCTCATTAACTTTTCAAATGCCACTTAATATTGTTCCATTAAAACGAAGGCAACTTCGTAGCCTCTGATCCCACTTCAAAAGTGTTAGAGACAGAGAAAAGTACATTAAACCGCTTGCTTAAAACTTGTATTTCCCCAGCAACAAGGCAAGTGACATCGCGGCGACCTGGCTGTTTTTTGCGAGTCTTAGTGCATGAAAATAGCTCGATATTGGGAAGGAGGTAAGGAGAGAAGGGGAGACGAGCGAGAGGTGCCTTTTTCCCCGCTCTGCTCCCGGGCAGCCCCTTAGGAAGGGTGGTAGGAAGGTATTTCACAGCACGCCCAAGACATTTCAATAAAAATTTATTGAAACTTCAGTGACTTTGAAAAGGGGGAAAAATACAGAAAAAAAAAGAAAAAAGGGAAAAAATTCTCGACATTTATAAAACATAAAATATACCTTCATTTCTTTTCTTTGAACCAGCTCTGAGCACCTGACTTCCAAGCCAAGAAAATATGCCCTCACTCAAACAAAGACAATAACGCAGTAGTCAAACTCTGTCGTGGGTTTTGAAACACCAAGAAATAGGGGAGAAATAATACGAAGTAAAGAAAATCCTAGAATCTTCATCTTTTTAATCTCAAGCCACTGGAGAAGCCTGTTGTCATGTATCAAAGTATATAATTTTGCGGTTGTTGAAATTTTATACCGAAAGTAGCACGTTTAACATTGAAGAAATCACGGATTAAAAGCTACCGTGGCACAGTGCGTTTTCTTTTTCTTTTTTCCTTTTTTTTTAATAAGTTCTTCGGGGTTTTGTTGTTGTTTGTTTCTTTCTTCTTTGCCTTTTGCATTCGGCTCTTAAAAGAAAAGGGATAGAGTGGGGAGAGAGAGAGAAAGAAAAAGGGGAAAAAGAAAGAAGAAGAAAAGAAAAAAGGACGAGGTCAGGTTTTCCGCGGTGAACATAAATTTAAAAAGTGAGCAGGCAGAAACAAGGTATTTCTCCTCTGGGTTATTCTGCTGAACTGGGGCAGTTGCTTAAAGGATTACGAACTTGAAATGAAAAAGACTGAAAATAAAAACACAAGAAAAAAAAAGACGGCTGCAGTCATATTTACAGAGATATATACAATGTCAATAAATTAAAGTTTAATTTCGAGTATTCATATTCCACTTATTTACAAGAGTTATCAAATAATTACATAAATACTTTGTTTTAATAATAGTGTCCGCTTTTTTTCCTCTTCTCAGTATGCTTAAACCTTGTTATTGCATATACAATTAAAGGGGGAAAGCCGTGACGAACCTACAGTCAAGCTACAGAGGGATTTAGATAAAATAAATTCACTTTTTTTTCCTTTCCAACTACACTTCTTATCGTTGCTGCTACAGGGAGGAGGTTGAAGGTACAGGGGAAAAGTTCTTATTTTTGTTTTTATTATTATTATTATTATTCGTCCCTGGGATTCGAAACAAGCATAAAAAATATTAAACAACAGAAACCCCACCGAAATAAAAAAATACCCCCCCAAAAGCAGATTACTATGGAACATGCGGAAAAAAAAAAAAGCCACCGTTTGGCTCTCAGACATCACGACAATATTTTAAACACTCAGCTTCGCTTAATAGAGACTAAGAAGGGCTGTCGTTAACAACCCGCCCAGGAAACGATGGTTGAAGAACCGATATGCAAGTTACTTAGACTTTTTTGTTGTTTTAAGGGAAAAAAATAAAAGAAAAATCACTTCGCTTTTATTCAGATGGTTGCTCGCGGGGTGGCGGGGGCGTTTGTTTGATTTCGCTTTTATTTTTACACAGTGAAGGAAAGAAAGAAACGGTGGGCGCCGCAACGTGTCCCGTCCCCCCCCTTTCCCTCCTCCCAGTGCCCTGCGGCCGCCGCTTCGCGGGCCGACCCGTAGAGGTG